GGGGGGGGGGTTCAAGTACATTCCGCCATTCTACTGCATAAAGTGGTCCAACCCGGCAAATAACCTAAATCTATATGCTGGTTACATTAAATCCATGTCTATATAGTCCAGAACCTTATCCTTTTCTTGTATGATACTAAGTTTGCAACTTGTCTAGGAAACCTCGGTCAAGAAGTTGGAAGACTGTCATGATAGGGAAAAAGAAGGGAAATAGCTAGTTAAATAAAACAAAGATAACAATACTGGCCGAAGATCTCTATGCTCTTTGATAATTGCTGCAAGGAATGACATATAATTGACAATGTCCTAGTTCACACGCCACATGCATTAATTTAATTGGTATTCCAGTAGGTCCATCCAAAACTAAGCCAAACTAACTATCATCAGTAGACTGAATAAGTACTTTCTACATCACTCTCAGAAAGGCCTTGACAAGATCTCCGTCATATTGCAAGGCTGATTTGTTTTTCTGTTTCTTCTATTAGTTGCTTCCTTTTTAAAAGAATTGGTGGAAAATCACCATGAGGAACACAAGCTCTGGAAAACAATAAACCAAGAAAGAAAAAGTAGCCTCATTCAGACAGATCCCCTGGGACTGATCCGCTTCACGATAACAAGTGTTACTAAAGCATCTCAAAATAAACTTTTGACAACCTTCAACTTGACCCCCTGTATTTGAACTGACACTTGAAGATGCTGCAGAATGCCTGTTTGCAGTATAAGGAGGTAGAGAACCAGTAACGCCTCCAGGATAGTGCATGGGATATTGAAGCCCTTGTACAGGCCTGTAAGCAGATGCCAGGTAACTTCCAGGTGACATGGCATAATTTCTTGGGGTAAATCCAGGTGTTAGACCAGGTGCAACTCCCCGTAGACGGTACTGCATGAGCGCATATGTCCCATGAGCCTGCAAAATAGCTTGTTAACTTGAACTACTCCTTAAATTGATTACAAAAACAAAATGAGAAAGAAATGTATTAGAAAAGAAATAACCACGGGAGGAGCATGCCAATCCAATATCACATATAGAGCAAGGTAACCAAGGCTTTTGACTTGACAGCCAAATTTACTGCTGAATACAATTCAACCAACCTGATAACCATAACCATTATATGGTGGCATATAACCCATGGATAGAGCTCCATACAAAGATGGATGCTGTCCAGAGTTGGAAGCATTAGATGCCTGAGATAAAGCTTTCTGAGCCCTCCTAGCTTGCCTTTCCCTTTCTGTATCTGCCCACTTGACTACCAAAGGGACAGTTGAACCCTGGATGGGGAGTATAATAAAAAAATTCATAAGGATTTAGTCAACAACAACAAACCCAGTAGTTTCCCACGAGTGGGGTTTAGGGAGGGTAAGATGTACGCAGTCTTACCCCTACCCCTGGAAGGGTAAGATGTCTGGGGAGGATTTAGTCAATGTGCTTAAATCTTCATTGTGAAAAAAAAAATGTAAATAAACTTGCACAGCTATAGGGTCCCGTTTTCGCAGAAAAACTAAACTCTCGAATTTTAGATTACTAGGAAAAGAGATGCCTAAAAATTCAGATCATCACTAAACTCTTATAAGCTTTAAGCAAAGTAATAAGCCAGAATCAAATTTCTGGAAAATGACAATGTACAGAGAAAGCAAATAAGATAACAATAACCAGCACTTACTCAAGTATCCTAATGATAAAAACTCCACACAGGGTTAGACTTGCACAGTACAAATATTTAATTGAATGTTTTTAAAACATTAACACTTCCATCAGCCTGGGTACTAATTTTTTCCATGTTAGATTTTAATTTCAAAACTAATTAGGTAAATATAATTGAACATCCACCTCTCAATCAACTGCTGAGGATTCGTAAGTTCCTCTAGAAGACTAGAACACATGAGCTCCGAAGGGATCAAATACATATCTCATAAGACAAATGTTTATTTTGCTTCTTACAAGTTACTACTTAAGCTGAAGAATTACACAATAGTATCTTCAGTGATTAATCAAATTGCTCGGTAAAATTTTCCAGTAAACTAGAATCATGTCGATTCAGTCAAAGGCTTCAAAAGGCAGATGACAAAAATGCCTAGAATGCCTGAATGAAGTGCCATGTCGAAATGGCACAGAAAATAAATCAGCAGATAATGTCTCCTGGTCCTCTGAACAGAAAGTGGTAGCATTTAGGCCATTCTGTTGGCCCTGCTACAAAGAGACAACATATGATATAAGCCATTCAAATAAACAGACGAGATGCCACCTTCACTAATTGACCCCAACTTACAGCCAGAATTGGTGCACCCATGATGAAGAGAATAGAGTAATCCTGCAAGGAGTGATTACATAACTACTGCAAGGGAGAAGTAACTCAATATTTGAACTTACCAAAAAAATTATTCTGAATATTTGACCAGTACTACAGCTCCAGAGAAAGGATAATAACCAGTTCAACTATTAAAGAGAAGTTACATGCAAAGTGCAAATTTAAAACACCCAGAAAGCTCAAAATTCCAAGGTTCACTTTAGTGACCTAATACGCAGATAGAAACAAACCTCGATGGTATGCTTTCCATTAAGGGCCTCTATTGCTGCAGTTGCTTGTTCTTTTTTCTCATACTTCAGAAAAGCATATCCTACCATAAACAAGACATTTTCTGGTGATAAATTAATTTTTCCCTTACAGAAAGTTTAAGTGAAAGATTATTAGACAGTGTTGGCTGTACCTCTACTAGTTTGCTGAGAACCTCTGAGAATTTGCAAATCTGTAATGGTCCCATATTGAGAGAATAAGGAGGAGACTTCGGGGTCAGAAACATTCTTTGGCAGCATACCCACAAAAAGTTTGTGCTCTGAATTTCAGGTTAAGAGAAAGAAGAAAAAGAAAGAGAATGAGAGAAAAAGTTACCAACTATATAAAGCATCACATACACAAAACAATGATAGTAATAGTATATAGCAAGGACCCTCTTTTCTTTTACGGATAAGTATTGCAACAACAGATTACAAGGTAAAAAGGAGGGAAAACAAGGAAAAGTAAACAAACTGGAATCATTTGAATCAAATATAACCATGAAAGACCAAATATCATAAGACCAGAATTGAAATTATAGTACACCTAGTCTTTCCAACTCGCCATCAGCATACTTCACTTGCAACGGACTAGAAGCCTGAATAGTACACAGAGAACAGGACGTCTTTATTATCATAAGACAAACATGTCATGCCAATATAAAAACAGCAGATCACAAATAAACTTAATAAGCTTAGTACTTAGGTTAGATGTACCCTTGCATCCATCTTATTTTTTTTCTGGAGATAAATGTGCAAAATTAAAGCGTAAAATACAGCTTATTACCAGTGTCGAACCATATTTATAGATTTATCAACTATGATCACCCTGGAAATGACCTTCATCATACTTTTTTTGATAAATCGGTAAGTGAAAGGACCTTCATCATACTTATTCCTTTTCTTCTAAACACAAGAGAATAGCACAGAGTGTGAAAAGCATGAAACCTGATATNCCCAACCACCACCACCATCCATAGGCTCTCCAAGAGAAGCTTTCCCCTCATTGCACACTCTACTGTAGTCTATACAAACATACTAAGTTGTCTAGTCAGTTAAGATTTCAATGGAACACTGCTGTTCTGTTCAATTTACTATGTTTCGTAAACATTAGAGGATGGGACGTGCAGCTTGAATCCAGAATTCAAGTCTTGGTAAAGACCATTCAACAGTCTCCATTATTACATCAAGATGGTACAGTCCGTAAAAAGAACATCCAATCACGGACATAATTTCGACTTATACTCCTAAACTTACAACTTTTAGTAGCCTATTCACTTCTTACTATACAGTCATGCTGAAAACAGATTGTCCCCGTATTCCTGGTGTTAGAACATGAAACAATGCCACAACATTTCTCTTGAAGATAGTCAATATAGTAACTTTAGCAACTAGCTAAAATATCAACATGGAACGTTACTATGATTGTATTGGGGATTTGACCATCCCCTAACACCAGCAAATAAATTTCAGAAAAAAAAAACAAAATTTTATAAGTGTGGTGTCCGTACTAGCTCGCATGCACATCGACTAATTTCAAAGGGTACCTGCTACCTCCCACTAGTACAAATACCAGGCAACTCTCTCCAATAAGGCTTGGATAGATGGGATTTAAGCTGATTAATTTTGGAAATGAGAATCAGCTCATTAATTCTAGAAATTAATGAACTATAATAAATGAGTATAGGATTGAGGCATACTTATTATTGTTGCTGTAATGGATAACAAACGGCACAGAGATTCCACCGCATTACAAATTCACAATGCTTCGCATATATTATTTACTAAATCAAATAAATAAAGTATAATGTACGTCCACATTGATTAGAATATATAAAAAGACTGACCCCAGGAAGCGTCTTCTTATTGTGACAAGCAGTTACAGCCTTGTCCGCTTCTTCTCTCGAAGGACAAATCACAAAACAACATCCTGAAAAAAACAGCAAAGTTATTGTTTGAGCAAACAAAATAACATACAAACGTTAGAAATACTACTCAAATCGCACATTACGATCCAGAAACATGTAAATTAAAGGTGAAGACTAGAGCGTGAACCTCGAGAAGCGCGTGTGGCCTTGTCTTTGATGATGTTGACTTCGTCAATAAGTGCGAACTCTTTGAACATCGCCATGAGCTCTTCTTCGGTTATGTCCTTTGGCACTTGACCTACGAACAACTTCACGCTCTCCTCGATTTTTTCACGCGCCCTCTCTTCCTCCGCCATTAATGTCAACGACACACGTGAAATCACACGCTCTCTCTCAGGAACTGTGTACTTCAATGTCTGGCTATTTTCGTCGAGTCCTTTTTTTGGGAAATTAGAGACTTTTTAGATGGCAAGAATGGAGTTTCGTTCCTTTATTTAGTAGTTTGATAGGCGTAAATAACCTTGGTTTAGGGATTATATAACGAGACTACCACTGAAATTGCTTTTTGGCTCCTGTGACAGTTGAGGAGACGTGACGCTTGTAACCGATAAATTCGACAAAAAGACAATAATGTAATGTGGATCTGAAACAGCTTGCACTTGCATTGACGTAATTGCCCTTTATTAAAAATGTCTGCTTCCTACTTCCTTGTCTTACGTTTCTTTTCAAGTGAGGTAATCCAGGTCATTTGCATCTATACCCGCTTTTTGTATCACGTTTTAACTTGTGTCCGCTTTGCAAAAAAATTACAAACGTACTCGTTTTCTCACATAACTTCAGGATAAGGGGCTGAAGTAGCAAAGACAATCGCGCAAAACTTCAGCATTCTAGTAGTCGGGCCTGAAGTTCAGCTTTAGAGCTGAAGTTTTTGTTTTGTAACTGTCGAAGAGCTGAAGTTTTTGTTTGTAACTGGCGAAATTTTTGTTTGTAAGCTTCAGCTCTAGAGCTGAGTTTTTGTTCGTATGTTTCAGCTTTAGAGCTGAAGTTTTTGTTTTGTAACTGTCGAAGAGCTGAAGTTTTTGTTTGTAACTGGCGAAATTTTTGTTTGTAAGCTTCAGCTCTAGAGCTGAAGTTTTTGTTTTTTAACTATTGAAGTTTTTGTTTGTAAGCTTCAGCTCTAGAGCTGAGTTTTTGTTCGTATGTTTCAGCTTTAGAGCTGAAGTTTTTTGTTTTTTAACTATCGAACTTCAGCTCTAGAGCTGAAATTTTTTATTTGTAACTGGGGAACTTCAGCTCTAGAGCTGAAGTTTTTGTTTTTTTAACTGGGGAACTTGAAGTTTTTATTTTTTTAACTGGCGAAGAGCTGAAGTTCCAAGACTGCAACTGTATAGCTATAACTCAACAATGTTATCTGACGAAGAAAACAAGTTACACTAGAAAAGCAGCACGAGAAGTCTAAATTTCTGGCACTTTTGTACAGAGATGTATTAGTGGTTTTAACTATAGTCAAACTTATACATAGTCGTAACAGATTTCTTGCAGAAAAGGGAGAAGGAGAAGTTTGAGAAAAAAGAGGCGGATATAACTTTGAGGAGGAGAAGGAGGAGGAGAAAGGGAACTGAAGTTGTTTAAAATGTGGGTACAAGTTAAAAGTTTTAAAAAAAGGGTATAGGTTAAATGGGGGGGGGCGACCAAATAGGGCGCCCCGTGCAATTTTTACAGCTAATCCTAGATGGATAATACAACGAAGATGGGCCTATGTCGACCAAACTGCCATTACTGATTTCAATAATTATTCAACAAAATAAAATATGACTATTTTTAGCAAAATTTTAGTTATACCCATATTATTAATTACTCGCTTCAAATTATTTTCTCAAATTCTTTAAAATTATGTAATCAATTAATATGTGTATTATGGTAAATTATACACTTTATTTATTATTTTTTAAAGGGTGTGCAAAATTTATAGTGGATAAATAAAAGTAAACGGAGAAGTATTTATATTTATCATTAAGGGAGCCCCAATGAGAAATTGGTAGATTTTATGCTTCTAAATTTTTCGAAAAGAAAGATTCAAATTTACCTTTAACTCCTTATTATCAAAGTTAGAATTTTATAATTAGGGGTCAAGGACAGTACAAGACTCTTTTCTAACACGGGAAGGGAATAATATTAGACTAGATATCTATAATAACAATAACAATAACAATAACAATAACAATAACAATAACAATAATAATATATCCAATATATTCTTACATGTAGGACCTGAGAAAGGTAGTGTGTATACAGATGATCAGGCCCAACTATACCTTAGAAAAAGGACTAAGCGGCCGTTGCAAATATAATCCGATTTACAAGTCCGAAGTTGAATCCCACAGAGAACTAAGGTTTAGCTACAGTGTTTGATAACTATGGATTCTAGCCTATTTTATAGTCTCTTTTGCTTAAGTTTTGAATAAAAAATGTGTAAAAGTATTCCCGAAAACTGACTTATTGTGCTTGTTTGCAAGGTTTGGTCAAAATGAGGCAAGAAAGCCACAACCAACTCATGAAGGAGTTAAAATTGCACAAGTTCAAAGCTGAGATAAAAGCGCTGACCGCGAAGGAAAAGAGCATCCGCGAAAGATCCACCGCTGAAGCAGCTACAATTACGCTGTCAACGGAATTGAGATTCAGAGAAGGTATTTTTGGGATACAACAAATATCGCTAACCGCAGTAAAATAGTGCGGCGGTGGATTACTTGACGCAACCGCGGTGCAAATTTCGCTGAGGGCGAAATAGAGATTCAAAGGACTGCCAATGCTGATGCGACAAAATTTACGCTGTCAGCGAAACATAGCCCAATCTTAGTCAAAAATCAAAGAAACACGGTCCGTGTTTGTTTTTGCGCGGCCGCGAAAGTGCATACGCTGAGGCACCCAGTATTCCGCTGACAGCGGAACCTCCGTAGGGGTATTTTTGTCCAGTAATTCTAGATGTGTATAAATAGATCTTTTTCACATTTTAGGGTATCTTTTGTAGGAGGGAGCTCGTGAATAGTCGTACATTACCACTTTGAGTAATTTTAGAGTAGCTTTAGCTTATATTCTTAGATTTTATTCTTGTAATCAATGTGAGCACGTAATTTTTGCCTTACGAAAAACTACTCCAAAATAAATCAAAAGATAAAATAAATTTCTTTTACTGTGTAATTTTTTGAATTTGCGTGGTGTTAAATACTTGTGTTATGTCCGTAAGTGTTTACATTGTCATAATAAAATGAAAGAATAAAATAAAATACATATTGCATGCATATAGGATTTAATTATGCATTTAAAAGATAATTTAAATAAAATCACAACAAAATATGCAATCGTTCTATTTTAAATATTCCACTGTGTGATTGATGTTTTGTCTATGTGTTAAATAATTGTTATAGAGTAATTAATATATTTTTGTGAAGTTAAAATTATTTTATAGTTAATATTAAAAATTTAAATTAGAAAAAAATGAAAAAATATATATATATATATATATACAAAATCGGACCTGGATTAAAATCCAGGCCCAAAACATTTTAACCCCCACAGCCCAATCCTTTAGCCCATGTCCGGTCCAAACCAGACGAACCAAAACGACAGCGTTTGGTCGTGGCTTCTCAGAAACCGTTGGATCAAATACCATCATGATGCATCCTACTTGTTACTTGTGCATTCATTTGCCTCGAACATGCTTGTTGACCAGCTTAAATAAAATCATGGTGAGAAGAAAGGAATAAAATGGNAAATCAAAGCTTGATATTCACAAAGGCTCCTTCGGTACATCGATTCTTCGGTCTTCTGAACATCAGCAGTCAAATCAGGAAAAGCAATGTCATCAATGGATGTTGTTCCTTCAACATCCTCATTCTCCGGTTTGGACCGGACCTGGGCTAAAGGATTGGGCTGTGGGGGTTAAAATGTTTTAGGCCTGGATTTTAATCCAGGTCCGATTTTGTATATATATATATATATATATTCAATTTTTTCTAATTTAAATTTTTAATATTAACTATAAAATAATTTTAACTTCACAAAAATATATTAATTACTCTATAACAATTATTTAACACATAGACAAAACATCAATCACACAGTTGAATATTTAAAATAGAACGATTGCATATTTTTTTGTGATTTTATTTAAATTATTTTTTAAATGCATAATTAAATCCTATATGCATGCAATAT